GCAAAACGCACCGGCCGAGCCGAGCCGAGCCGTGCCGAGCCGAGCCGAGTTTTAGTAGTTGCCGAATTTTCAAGGAATATTCCCAGCACAAGTACACCTAAATTGATCAAATTCAGCTCTCAGGCATCAGCGGTTATCGCTTAAGGCCCCATGAAATTTTTTGGCTGGAAAATGGCTAACCTATGAACCAGGAAAGTTGAGAAGCTGAAATTTTCAGGGGATGTTCCCAGCATATGTAAAAATTAAATTTGATAAATTCAGCCCCCAGGCATGCGTAGGTCTCACATACAGCCCCGTAAAAATTTTTGGCGGGAAGATGGCTAATTCGGGAACCAGAAAAGCTGGGAAACTGAAATCTTCAAAGAATTTTCCCAGCACACTTACAACTCAAAGTTACTAAATTCAGCCCTTCTCTGTGCGTGTTTATCACATACGGCCCTGTGAAAATTTTTGGCGGGAGAAGGTCTAACTCGAGAGCTAGGGAAGCTGGAAAGTTGAAATTTTAATGGAATGTTCTCTGTCCAAGTACCGCGTAATGAATAACTTCCCGAGCTTCGAGTATTTTACACATTTTAGCTATTGGGTTTTCGAGCGATCTCATTACTGTAAAAAATAGTGCAAAAACGCATGATCGCACGGGCCCGCCCGGTGCGCGTCGCCAGTAATTTTAAAGGTATTGGATATCTTCTGTGCTGTGATGTAGAAGAAGCGGATGAGTGAAAATAACAGCGGTTATGAGAGTAACTGTTGCGTACATGTGTTTTATGTGCACGCGCATGTGTGCGCGTAATGATTACGACCACAAAGGTTCTTGTCAAGCTAAACATTCTGATGAAAGATTTTTTTAAAATCTGCTTCAAATTTTTTTTTTTTTTGGATTTTTGCTTTATTTTAACACTACCGCCTTGACTGATCGCGGTCACGTTATATTTAGTGTGATGTTTGTGAAAGTATGCTTTTTTTCACAAATTTTTCATTTCAGAGTATTTTGTTGCTGCTGCACGAGCGCATTCTGCGCAAAAAAGTCTCCCCGCTACGGAAAACCGGACAAATAAATTCAACAGGAACCGCAACAAACAAAATCGGGTATGGAACGCAACTCATTTTTTTAGTTTGGTTTTTTCAGCCTTCTAATCAGTTCAAGTACAGGTCTAAAAACTGTAGAACAATGTATTTTTACTTTTTAATATAATGTATTTGTACTGGAAACATTGCACGCCACCCTAATCCACTAATTTCTTTCTCGAACTCTTTATCTACAAGCATTATACAGTTTTAGGGCAAGAAAAGCAATGGGCGAAAAATATCATACAAACGGCAGAGTTATCAAAATGAGAAGAATAATGATTATGCCCGCTATGGATATGATAGCAAAGTTGCTGAGTATGCCTATGGAAAGGACCAGGTAGTGAACGGTGGTGAACGAGCTGCAACACTTAGCATATCTAATGGACACGTGGTCCAGTACGGTCATCCACACAGTACCAACGGAAGTGCATATGCTGCAGAACATAGTAGGGAAAACGGTGATTTCCACGCTGCTACCTACGATCAACCAGTTAGTGCCTATGACACCAGGTCAAATGGACGCAATCGCCACAGAGGTAATGGGAGCGAAAACAATCAAAGGTCAATTAACGGCCGTACCTCCAATGGACATGCCAAGCAGAAAACTGCTAATGGTCAATACCGGAATGGCAAGAATGGAAGCAGAATGGATCAAAACAGGTACAGAAGAAAAGGATATGGAGTCAAGAATAGTTATGGTGAAGATAATAGCAAAAATAGTCTAGCTGGACATGAACATTACAGCATTGCTGGATACAACACTTACGTGGTTCCGCATAATTACGGTTACGATAACGAAAAGCTGAAAAACAGCAGTGTTTCACCAGTCCAAAATGGCCGATATGGTCGGCCTCCAGCGGTTTCGGGTGGTCAGAATGGATACGTGCTGCCTCCAGGTGGCCTGAACAGTTACGTGGTTGACCGTGCTTCTGCATATGGAGCATCTGCTTTCGACAACCATGTCTCGCAGGAGCAGAAAAGTAAAAATGGACGGAGTTATGTGTATAGCGCTAGCTACGATGGAAGAGACAGTGGGCAAACAATTCAGATCTCCAACGGCGGACTGAGTAACAACGAAATCGGTGAAGAGGAATGCCCTGATCAACAGTTTAGGTACGTTCCCCATTTCTCAAAACATTAGCACAATTTGGCTAGTAAATATAACGGACAGAATTTCAGCTAAACTAATCTGTGATTTTATATACTGAGAAAGCTTACTGCACAGTCGACGTAGGATCCAAGTAAATGATGTTACTGGTGATAACTACATGAGGATGCTTTAAATCAAAGCACGATGCGTACAAATTTAAGTGGAATTTCCTGCACATGTTCTCCATCTCCGCTCAACGTTTAGCTTCTCTCGACCGGTCGCCTTTTTTACGGTTTTGAGATAAGTTGTTACAATTGTTTCGTAAATGAGCATGCTAACATAAACGGCATTTACTTCTTTCCCACCTCGAAGCAGCATGGGGAACAACAAAATTTTAAATTCTTGCTTTTGCTTTTTTCTGGAATTATTGCTTTAGCCTCAGTTTACCCGATGCCATAAATTAGAAAAATATAGAGCTAGCAGTTATGTTAAGCTTTTAGGTTCTTCAACAAATAAAACGAACTTCAGGAACGCCAAGAGGCTGACCATCGGGCGATGCTGCACTGGTCAAAGGAAGTGGAAGAACTGTCAGTCCATTTTTAGAGAATTACATTCTGAAATACGGTTGATCGAAGTACCAAAGCATCAGAGTAGAGTCCCAGGGACCAAATTTGAAGGAATTCTTTGAGGGGTTTTGGAGATGAAAGCACTGATGAAAACAGTTTTGTAGCAGCGTTGCGCTAATAAATGACATCTTCATTTAGATGTCCGTATTTGGAAGCGAAGGTCTGCGTTCATTATGAGAAAATTTGCGACGGCATCGATGACTGTGGAGACGGCAGCGACGAGGTGAGCTGTAGCAATGACATCGAGGAAGAGGCAGAAAAAGCGCAGCCAGTTGGCGAACCAGCAGGGGTCGGGACACCAGGCTGTGAGCCGAACCAGTATCAGTGCCAGGATGGAAAATGCATTCCTGGAAGCGATAAATGCAATCACAGATACGACTGCGATGATGGTTCGGACGAAACTGTTTGTGGTCAGTTGCTTAATTTCATGCATATTTACTATGTTCATTACGTATCCTTGCTGCTAGTTATGCGTTTTTGCTTATATGCAAATGCAAAAACGCATATTGTGACGATCCCGGTGTGTGTGTGTGTGTATGTGTGTGTTTGTGTCTGTTCGGATATTTCAACTCCGTACCCAAGCAAGCTCCGGCGCCGCTGGTGGGTTCCCTGGCCAAGTGCTACCCCAGGACGCGATATCAACCCTCACGCAAGTCTGGGCCCCGCGTACGAGGCGGTGAAAGTTTTGGCGGGAAAATCGCTTACTCGGGAACCAGAAAAGCTAGAAAGCTGAAATTTTGAGGTTACGTTCCCCATCCCCATGGAATTCAAAGATTTCAAGTTCAGCCCTAGGCGTGCGTGGTTCCTGCGTGTGGCTCCGTAAGGGTTCCTGGCGCGAAAATCGATAACTTGGGAATCAGGAAAGCTGGGAGCTGAAATTTTCAGAGAATATTCCCGGCGCATGTGCAACTTAAAATAACTAAATTCAGCCTCTAATAGTGTGTGGTACTCACGTACGGCCCCGTGAAAATTTTTGGCGCGAAAATGGCTAACTCAGGAACCAGAAAAGCTGGGAGGCTGAAATTTCCAGGGAATGTTCACAGCACGTGTACAACTTAAATTTAACAAAATCGGCCCCCAGGTAATCGTGGTTATCAGGTACGGCCCCGTGAATCTTTTTGGCGCGAAAATGACTAACTCAGGAACCAAGAAAGCTGGAAGGCTAAAATTTTCAGGAAATGTTCCCAGCTCAGGTATAATTTAAATTTATCAAATTCAGCCGCTCAGTGCAAGTGATTTTCACATACGACTCCGTAAAAGTTTTTGGCGCGGAAATGGATAAATCGGGAACCAGAAAAGCCCGGAGGCTGAAATTTTCAGAGAATGTTCCCAGCCCATGTATAGCTCCAATTTATCAAAGTTAGCCCTCCGGGCATGCTCGACTGTCACGTACGGCCTCGTGAATATTTTTGGCAGAAAAACTGCTAACTCAAGAAAAAAATTTGGAAAGCTGAAATTTCAACGAAATGTTCTCTGTCCAACTACCGCATAGACAACTAACTTCCCAGGCTTCGAGGACCAGTATATCACACATTTCTAGCTACTGGGTTTCCGTCCGATCTCATTGCGGCTCGAAATATTGCAAAAACGCATGATCGCATGGGCCAGCCCGGTGCGCATCGCCAGCGATGTTGGGTTGTACCCTTGTTAGAAATGCTCTGGGATGAGCAGGCTGAAGGCGCTACTTGAAAGCACTTCCCCTGCAAAATTTGCGAGTCTGCCACTGTTAGAGGTTTGTGTATTACTCTTTCGTTTTAGTAGCGATGCTTCGTAAAACAATTACTTCTACAGCTCATTATCCATGATATTTAATCCCATGCATACCAGCAAAACCTACATGCCTAGGAAAACAAAAAAAGTGCGTTGAATAGGTTTTTCGCAAATGTTTCGAGGAGTCAGTCACAAACAGTAACCTTGGTGCGCTTTAATAACGTCTCAGTTGTGCTATGCTTTATCAGCACAGACGCATTGCGCCTAGACGCTTAAATGCAAGGATTACCAATAAAATCCGACTGGCATTGCGCAATGAGAAGTAGTAGTGTTGTTACTGAAGAAGGTGGAAAGTTCGAGTTCGGCAGTGGGACAGTCAGTCACTTTGCGATTCCTTCATTCGTTTCAACAGTAAAGTGACAATGGCAGCATGCCAGAGAGTCAAATCCACCATCGGTTTTCTTCTAGGCAACCTTCGAAAGAGTTTTGCCAGCAGATGCTGGCATTTGTTACCGCTCTGTCTATTTTTGCAAGTCTTATCCTTTCAGAGGAAGCGAATACGGCGTTGGTTTTTTGAGTTGAAACAGAAGTTAGTTCGTGTTAATTTAATTCGTACTGAATGTTAATTCATAGCCTGATTCTTCGTCTGCACAGCTAGCCAGCTCTTTTTGAAGACTGCTTACTGTAGATCAACACAAAAATTTTTCAAGAGAAGTAAATGGTGAGGTTGCATTTTCAGATTACTTCAAAGAAGCTTTAAAACAGGCAGCCAGTGGCTTAACACATTCCAACGGAATAACAAGGGAAGAGCTCGAAGAGAAGGAGCGAAAGGAACAGGAAAGAAGGCAGCAAGAACAGGACCGAGAAGCAAAACAGGAGGAGGAGAGAAGAAAAGAACAGCTGGATCATGAGAGAGCAGAGCAACAAAGAAGATGGGAGGAACAAGAAAGAGAGAAACTGGAACAGGAAAGACAATGGCAGGAGCAGGCGGAACGAGAGAAGCTGGAGCACGAAAGACAGTGGCAGGAACAGATGCAGCGAGAGAGGCTAGATCAAGAAAGAAAGCAGCAGGAACAGAGAGAACAGGAGGAAAGAAGACAACAGGAATTAACCAGGCAGCGAGGGCGCGATGACGAACAAGAAAGCAGGCCAGAGTACGACCAGAAACAAGAAGTGGAAAGCAAGCAGGAACAGTACCGTGAGCGGGAGAAAGCCACATTGGAAGAGGAACAACGACAACGACAGGAACAGAAGAGTGTTGAACATCACGACCGAGAGCAGGAAACGAGGGACGAGGAATACGAGAGCACCAGACAGGAAGAAGAAGATCGAAAGGAATATGAAAGAACGAGGGCAGAAGAGCTACATCGGCGAGAACAGGAAAGAATGAGGTTGGAGAAGGAGCGACAGGAACAGGAAAGAACCAGGGCTGAAGAGATACACCGACGAGAACAGGAAAGAAGCAAAGAAGAGGAACGATATAGGCAAGAGCAGGAACGAGTCAGAGAAGAGGAACTTCGTCGGCAAGAACAGGAAAGAAAAACTTACGAGGAACAGCTCAGGAAGTATGAGGAAAGTGAACGAAAAAGATTGGAAGAGGAAGAGCGAGTGAGGCAGCAGGATGAACAGAGAGCGAAATCTGAGCTTGACAAGGTGCGCGAAGAGGAAATACGCCGACAAGAAGAAGTACAAGCACAGGCTGATGCGAGAAGAGGTGAGGACGGGTGGAAGAAGGAGGGTAAGGAGACGGCGATCGAGGAGGAGAGAAGAAGATATGAAAAATACTTAAAGACCGTAGAAGGTGTCAGGATAAAGGAAAGCGAGGAACGACGTAGGCTTGAACTTGAGCGCTGGGATCGAACTAAAGATGACAGAGTAAGTCAGGTCCTTATGCTCTCTGCTCAGATTATCATAAAAAATCTCCGGACCGGAACAGAAGACTGTTTTTTGCGTTTTTGCATACATGCAAATGCAGAGACGCATTATGTGACGACTCGTGGTGCGTGTATAAGTGTACTTGTGTATGTGCGTGTGTGTGTATATGTATGTGTATGTATGTATGTATGTATGTATGTGTGTGTGTGTGTGTGTGTGTGTGTGTCTATCCAGGTATTTCAACTCGGCAAACAAGCAAACTTCGGGCTGAAATTTTGCCAGTGGATTCCCCGGCCAGGTCCAACCGCGCCCGCGGTACCAACCTTTGCTCACGTCTGGGCCTCGCCTACGAATACGTGGAAGTTTTGGCGGGAAAATCGTCAACTCGGGAACCAGAAAAGCTGAAATTTTAAGAGGGTATCCCTCGTCCATGTTAGGTCGCTGTTCCCAACGTTGAATTATCTGGACCGAAAACGAAGAGGTATTTATTTGAGGTGTAGAGACGAAGATTGTACGCTAGACGAAAGATTGCGAGGCCGATCTTGCGATAATCCGACCGCGTTAGGACAGCTTTATTATACGCACTAATACAACAGCACAAATCTACCTTTAGTCAGGGTTACAGATTATCAATCCAGAGTCGAAGACTTGGCGCGTGCCTCCGTAAGGATCTAACTCTGCACATATACATTTGCACTACTTAACACTCCCTCTTTTAATACTTCGTCTCAATTATGAGTAGGCTTAGGTCTTGGCATATAGATCTCAATTAAGAGTAGGCCTAAGCCTTGGCATATGGATCAGTGGGAAGTCTTTTTGCCGGAACTCGCGTTAGTATCGATCACTGGGTTGCGATGCAATCGCGTCCTGTATTTTGATACCGTTCTCCAATGCTTGCAGTCCAAATCGTCCGCCACCCGTCGTCGTCGAAAATAGTTGGAATGCTAATAAAAAGAGGGGATTTCGGTATACGTCTGGAACATCTGGACATTGTTGATTCGCAGTTTCCGTTGTTGAGAGGGAAGTGCAGAAGGAGAACAGTGCCGCGCGGAAGGAATTGAAGCATAAAAAACGTAAACATCCAGATTTTTATCAAAAAAGAAGATAACTAGAAAAACACAAATTTTATACAATTTATTGCAAACCGAGAATTAGCAGTCTCGTGAAACCGTTTCTGACAGGCCTTCGAGCTAAGGCCTGTCAGAAACGGTTTCACGAGATTGCTTCGACGTCCTTACCGATTCTAACGAAACGTTTCCTTGACTGATTAGCATGTCGTATGGCTGTTCCGTTTTGCCTACCAACTTCAAAGAGCACTTTTTCCAGCCATTTTAGCGCTTCCCCTGATCTCCAGTTTTCCTGCGGCCTACAGTAGGTCTTCCAATAAAGATGATCATCTGCTCGGAACCGTCGTTTCAACGTACCGTAATATGCATTGAACTGTTGCTCCATTCTTCTATTTCCATGTTTATCGTCAATCCAAACAGTCTTTTTTGGAATAAAAAGGTCAAAAGCCGTCTTCATACGCCTTCCAAACATTATTTCAGAGGGTGATTTGTTATTTTTTACTGCAGCGTTTGGCGTGCTGTGATACGTTTGCAAGAAAAAATCCAAATTTTCACCCACTGTTCCCTCGTTTTCAACCTTCGCTAGCGTCCTTTTGACCCTCTCTACGAATCTCTCAGCTAACCCGTTTAACTGCGGTTGATATTCCGAAGTTTGCATGTGTCTGATTCCGCGTTTTTCGCAAAATTCCTTGAATTCCGTGCTGGTGAACTGCGTCCTATTGTTAGATACTAACACATCCAGGTTACCAAACCTTGCGGAAATTTTTGCAGCAACCTTGTGGTGGCCATTTCGATAGTGCATCCACTACTATCAAAAAAATATTGCTCCTTCACTGACCTAGCATAATCAACATTTATGCGCGATCATGGCTGTTTTGGTTTTGGCAAAGCTGCCAATTCTAGTTTGCTTGGTAATCTTGCTGCCATCGTGCCGCGGCTGCATTGGCATACTAACTTCTATCATTCGGTCCATCTTTAGCTAATACACATATGTTCTGGCTAGCGATTTCATCCGGTTCATCCCTGGATGTCTTGCTTTTAATTGCTTCAGAATCAAGTGGTGTAATGATTTTGGCAGCACCACTCGGTCTATATGCATTACTCATCTGTCTGTGATCAATAAAGTTCCTCTTCTGTTATGGAGTTGTTGTAACTCAAAATCATTGATTTGCTTTGTTCACCCTTCTGTTATGAAACTTCTCACAAGCGTCAATTTTTTATCACGTTTGTTTTCTCGTTTTAAGGTTTCTAAATCCATGACAAGCCTTGTATGGTTACAGCTAAATCATTCCGGACATCCGCTTCTATTTGTGGCAACGCCGCATACGTTTTTGGACGCTTAGGCTTGAAAACAGATTTTACACCACTTCTAAGTGCAAAATTGCCTTTGACTTAATGCATCACCTCAAGCCTGGCCCATATATGTGCGGAAATTTATCGTGTATCATTCGTACAACTTCGTGACTTGACAGCGGTTTTTTTTTCACCGACTCTATCCTACTTGTTGGTTCTGCAAAAAATAGCTTGAAAGTTGGTTCATCACTGAGTAAATTCTGAGTTTCTCAGTTTGTTTTGCTCCGTGGAGATCCAATTTTCCAATGACAAAGCACTGCTCTTCTGTACTTTTTCTTTGAAAACTGAACTTGTAGTTGAATTGCCCTTGAAATTGCATTCGCTTTTCAGAAGCGTTTAGAGCTTGAATTCTAGTTTCAAGTAATTTGGGTGATCCAGTATTTCTCCAGGTTTTCAGCGATATGATTGATATGTCGGAGACCGAGTCAACTTAAGACGTAATTTCATGTCCATCAATGTTGACGGTTATGTAATGGCGGTATTCCAGGATCAGAAGAAATAATGTGAATACCGGAAGATTTTATGATTCGTGTCTTAGATTACCATTTTCTTTCGACACTTCCTGGATTTTAGATTTATAATTAGATCGTTCCTTTTCAGATTTATGCCAGCATTGGTCAGATGTTTTCTTTCGGTTCTGGCATTC